GGGCACCTGTCACCGGTTCTCGCTCCTTCCTACTGCAGCACGAGTCCCAGCAAAGCCTCCCTGAACTCCTTGTCTGGCCTCATGTCAGTTCCTGCTGACCAAGGAGTCCGAGGACCCAGGTGGGAACGTTTGTCTCCTTCAGTGCCTTTCCTAGAGACTTACAAGCTGTAGCTTATAAAACAATGTCCTTTATCAGAGAAGCTGTAAGAAGGAGGCTGAGACAAAGGATGGAAGAGAAAAGGCAAACAACTCTTTATGAGGAAGGGTTACCATCACACTCCCATAAAAACAAATTAAAAGCTGCAAATAGCATACTGAATGCTTATTGTGGAATTTCGATGATTAATTTGGCCAGTATGATGGTGAAAAAAATTATACAGGGAAACTATTTTTGTTACTTTATGACGTATGCACAATTTTAAAGATATACTATGATCATCACAGTCTAACCCAGTATACCTGTAATTTTAACTTCAGGGGCACTCTGCTCTATTCAAGAGACAAGCTCCTGAAAAACTGCATTTAAAGCAGTCTCTATTAACTGGATCTTTTTTTTTTAGTTGCATGATGGCATGACAGATTTCGCAGGGCCTATTATTTACAGAAAGTCCTATTAAAAAAATTTTAAGTAAGAATTCTAGATGAAACTATTCTGTTTAAGGAAAATTAAAGTTAGAAGCAACTTTAAACAGTCACTAAAGCCCTACGATCTTATCTCCTATGTCTTGGAAACTCTCCCACTTGGAAATCCTTTTTGCCACAACGCTAGCCCATCTCTTGCCTGCAATCCCAGTGGTCCCCTCCCTCACAAAGTCCTCCCTTTACCGCTACCCATCATCCGGAGAGAGTGATGGGCACGTCTGAGCAGGTACCCTCCACGGGTCTCCGTTCAGGGCCTCCCCTCGCAGGGTTAACTGAAGCTGGATCTTCCGGTGAGCGAACCCTCCCCTAGGTGGGCACACCCTTCCCTGGCCCCTCTCCCCCCTCCATGCTTATTTACAGCTCTGGAGGCCCGAGGTCCTTTGCCAGCCACAGGTCCTCACACCTGTGTCTCTTCTCAAGCTGCTCTCTTTCCTCAGGTGGCTCTCTTTCCTCAGGTGGCCTCGCTGCTGCTCATCCGCCTGAGGAGGCAGGAGGGCACCGCATCTCACACCCTGCAAGTGCCAGGCCCATTTCACAGGTAAAGCAGTCAGCTCAGGGTGGGTGAACACGCTGTTGGTGTAACGCTGACAGCCACCCGCGATACATACTAACACATCCACACACACCCTTCCCAGGCTGTGAAGGCACCGCTGAGTAGTCCCAGAGAAACGCCGTGGACCCCTGTGCCGGAGGCCCGGAGGCCCGGAGACCGCACGGCCGAGCGGAGCTGCCCGGCTGAGCCCCCGGGGCCCGGGGCCGGGGGCCGG